CATAATAACTTTTTGTTGCATAATAGCCGGCTGGTAGCTTTCCGGAACGATGTGTATCCGTTACTGGTAGCTCAGTTGATATGCATCTGTTGCAAGTTTTTTTTTCTTTCTCTTTCTTTTATGTATTGCGGCACATTAGCTGAAGTGTTTTCCCCCTCTAGCTAACGTGTGTAATGATAATGATGATATATAAACTCGCTGTTGCGCTTTGTGAGCCGATTACGCGTTTGTTTGAGAAGTCCATTCACTACTGCTCCTTACCTTCTTACTGGAAGGAAGTGATAGTATGTCCGATTTTCAAGAAGGGTGACAAACCTTATGAGAACTACAGACCCGTCAATTTGACTAGTGTGCTGGTCATATTACTGTGGAAACTAGTAAGAGATGCCCTGGGAGCCCACTTGAGGACGTTCGACTTGCTCATTTCTATTCAGCACGGTTTTCGTAATAGCTATTCTTGCCTTATTTGTTGTATGCTTGGGAATGCTGAGCAAGGCTGTGAATGTACTTTTCATTGACTTTGCTAATGCTTTGGACACCGTCCCACATTCCCGCCTGTTGTGTAAGTTGCGGTCATATGGTATTTCCGGGCAAGCGCTACAGTGGATGCTAGCATTTCTAGAGAGTAAGGGGATATGAGTCCGGGTGGGCTCGAACCTCTCCTCCCAACAGTTACTTCTAAGTGGTGTTCCGCAGAGATCCGTCCTTGGTCCACGGTTGTTCACCTTGTATGTTAATGACTTGTCTGAGAAACTGGGGATGTCGTCCTCTCATGTTTGCAGACGACTTTAAGTCAGTGACCCTTGTGATTCCCAGATTCCTCAGAGTGTGCTTGCTAGACTCTGGGATCGGTCCACTTTGTGGCAACTACCCATAAATTTTTCAAAGTGTTCAGTTTTGCACCTTCAGAACAGCGGTCCATCAGCGTCTTACTTCTTATGAGGCAACGAAGTACTTCGTATATCCGAGAAAACCGACCTAGGTGTCACATCATCATCATCATCATCATCATCATCATCATCATCATCATCATCATCATCATCATCATCATCATCATCATCATCATCATCATCATCATCATCATCATCATCATCATCATCATCATCATCATCATCATCATCATCATCATCATCATCATCATCATCATCATCATCATCATCATCATCATCATCATCATCATCATCATCATCATCATCATCATCATCATCATCATCATCATCATCATCATCATCATCATCATCATCATCATCATCATCATCATCATCATCATCATCATCATCATCATCATCATCATCATCATCATCATCATCATCATCATCATCATCATCATCATCATCATCATCATCATCATCATCATCATCATCATCATCATCATCATCATCATCATCATCATCATCATCATCATCATCATCATCATCATCATCATCATCATCATCATCATCATCATCATCATCATCATCATCATCATCATCATCATCATCATCATCATCATCATCATCATCATCATCATCATCATCATCATCATCATCATCATCATCATCATCATCATCATCATCATCATCATCATCATCATCATCATCATCATCATCATCATCATCATCATCATCATCATCATCATCATCATCATCATCATCATCATCATCATCATCATCATCATCATCATCATCATCATCATCATCATCCATCATCATCCATCATCATCCATCATCATCATCATCATCATCATCATCATCGTCATCAACAGCAGTACATCAGCCATTTGAACTGATGCTTCGCTGCCATACAACCGTGAGGACCTATGAAATAAAGAATAAGAACAGGGAGAGAAGGGGGACTTACCCGAAAACCTTAATGCCCTAAGCAAACATTCAAGGTCAAGGCGCCTACACCTTGTGTAGTCAACATACCGTCACAAACAGCTGGCTATCGTGCAAAGATAAGGCGGCATCAGCGAGACAGCTTCCTTGCGGCTTTCACTGCCACGCGTCATAATCAGCCATTACCCCGCAGATAACTCAGCATCAAACACACTTTAAACAGGCAATCCGATTAGGAGGCGGCAGCAGACGCGCCACTGGTGTCTACTGCGAGCCATGTTCTGTAAAGTCTCGAGTCAAGCACAAGGCGAGTCACGTGGACTCCAACCCGGAAGGCGAGACGGACCAACGGCACCCAGTTTGGTCGTCAGTGACTTCATTTCCCGCTGCCAAGTCAACTTTTGTCCACCGCGAGCCTTGCGCTACACTACACCTGGCAGACTAAGCAAGGCCCTCCTAGGTAAGCGGTGACCAGGCATGCGTAGCACGTGCCCGAGCCAACGCAACTTATTCAGTGCTATCTGTTGTTCTAGGGAGCTAGCATGATTATCACCACCTAGTACTCGTTGCAACGAGACTGGACCTTAACGTGGTGCGACGGTTTGCGTACCTCATTGACCCATTGAGCTATACTGGGTGATGCCTCCGAGCATCTTGAGAGCTACTCCTACCAGGTTGGTCAATGGTGAGAGGTCAGACAAACTCAGTCTCCTGGTCCTCCAGGTTGGGGGTTTGAAATGAGATGGCGTCCATTTCTGTAAAACTAAATCACTGCCACCCCGCTGCCTTGCGGACGGGCTTTTGAGCCAAAGGCTTTGGATGAGGACCCTAATCGTTCTCCTGTCTAGGTCTGGGCGCCCTGGCAGTATCCCAGCCCACATACAACCATGACATTTTCTTCAAACATAAACTTCATCCTGCATCGGCCGTCGCGCAGATTATCAAGGGTCGCCTTATCTGCTGCATACAGCAGGGCGGATAAGCGAAAGCATGCTACTGCTGGCGCCTCCATTCTTTCTTTTCCACCTTTTTCTCTTACTCCCATCCCGGCCCCCATTACTAACCTTCCTTCTATAATTCCCAGCTTAATTGACAGCAACCGAAGTGCTACTGGAGTAGAACCATCTGCAGCCATCATCCCACAGCAGCTGTCGGACGCCTATCGGCAAAAGTTCCTTATAAGGCCACGCTGTCCCGTTTCCATGGCGACCTTCAACGTCCGCACTCTAAGACAAACAGGTCAGCAGGCTGCACTCGCACGCACCTTGGACACACTGGGTGTTGATGTGTGTTGTGTGTCCGATACTAATATTAATGACCCTAACGAGGTTATTGAATTGACTGCACCCGGCTTATCCTCTCGTTATTGGTTGCACGCATCCGGAGACGCCGATGCGGCACTCACGGGTCAAGCTGGTGTAGGTATCATTCTCAGCTCCAAGTCTGTATCATCGTTGGTTGATTGGATTCCGGTGAACAGCCGTTTATGTGCAGCCCGTTTGACGACATCAGCTAAGGTGAATTCGCGAAGTAAAACAAAACGCTGTTCGTTTGTGATTCCTGCTTATGCTCCCACGGACTGCAGTTCTAATGCAGTCAAGGACACTTTCTATCACGAACTGAACACGCTGCTACGCAGTGCTACTAGTTCAGATATTATAGTACTTGCAGGGGATATGAACGCACAAGTACGGCGTCTGAGCTCTTCAGAAGCTCAGCTGGGTGGTAAATGTGGGCTTAACACCCAACGGACTGACAACGGCGAGCGTCTGCTGCAACTGTGTGCGGCGCACCAGTTGTTTCTTACTAGCACTGCTTTTAGACACAGTGGGCGCCGAAGTGCCACTTGGCGTCCACCTGTAGCTGGTCAGCGATGGACCCAAATTGACCACATAGCCATAAGTTACAGGTGGCGTGGTTCCATTCTGGATTGCCGCTCGTACTGGAGTACCTGTGTCGACTCTGACCATGCCTTGGTGCGCTGTCGTTTCTCCATGAACTTTAGCGGAAGGCGCACAAAGCGTCTCCCCCGACTGGCAACGGAGAAATTGTCCCAGCCCTCTGTCAGGCAAGCCTATTAAGTGGCACTGCATAGCGAACTTTCGCTGTCTTGCCCTAATGACACTGAACTTCAGTGGAATAGGATCTCGGCCGTCATGCACGACGCAGGTGCATCTGCATGTGGCACTATCAGTCGTCATCGCACCAGTCACTGGATATCCGAGAGGTCCGTGAACCTTTTGGAAGCTAGAAGGCACCTCCCGTCTGGTTCTGAACACAATGTGACCAGACGGGCTATTAGGCGTGAACTAAAGCGGAGCCTGCGTGCTGACAAGGAAGCCTGGTGGACCAGTCGGGCTCAAGAAATGGAGGAGGCAGGAGCAGTAGGCAATTACCGCAAGCTCTTCCAGCTAATACGCATCACTGGTCCGAGAAAACCAGGCGTCAGTGAGACAATCAGGGACAGCGCGGATACGCTGATACACAATAAGGAGCGCCGTATGGCTCGTTGGGCTGAGCACTTTGAACATCAGTTCAGCTGGCCCCCTGCTCCTGGACCTCTTCCTACTCAGGTGATGCAGAACGAGCCATGGACGGTTAGTTTAGAGCCTCCGTCGGAGGCCGAGGTCCGAAACGCGACCACAGCCCTCAATCGTTTTCGTTCCGCTGGCCCGGATTCCCTACCACCTGCACTATTTAAGGATGGAGGTGAAGTCCTCTGCAAAGCACTGACCTCCCTATTCGAACGTATCTGGAACGAAGAGAGTGTGCCGGCTAATTGGAGCGAATCGATTGTAGTGACAATATACAAGAATGGCAGTCGCACAGACTGTGCGAACCACAGGGGTATTAGCCTAACGCCAGTTGTGACAAAATTACTGGCCTCGATTATCGTTCGTCGCCTCACTGCAGAACAGGAATCTCGGATTAGAGAAGAGCAGGCCGGTTTTCGCCCAGGACGTGGCTGTATAGACCATATATTTACTTTGCGGCAGGTGCTAGAGCAGCGCCACGCATACCGTAGATCGACAATAGCTGTGTTCCTCGATTTCACGAGTGCGTTTGATTCAGTCGATCGATCGATTCTGTTCGAAATACTTGCGCGGAAAGTTGTTCCCACGAAATATGTGAACATCCTTCGTGCTCTATACTCGAACACTAGAGGCCGCATCAAGGTCTACGGTGGCCTATCGGATAGCTTTTCGACTACAAGTGGCGTTCGTCAGGGTTGTCCGATTTCCCCGTTTTTGTTCAATTTCGTCGTGGATTCTATCATGGAGTGTTCCCTTGCGGAATCTCACGATGTAGGTGTTGAAGTGCTGCCTGGTGAACGGTTAGTTGATCTAGATTATGCGGACGATATCGTCTTGCTTTTCGACAATGTTGAGGCGGCACAATCAACCCTGAATAGCCTATCCAGAGTGGTCCCATTATTTGGTATGCACTTCGCACCTTCAAAGTGCAAAGTGTTGCTGCAGGACCACCAGCCACTCGATGGCCCCTTGACGCTTGTTAACGAGGAACTCGACGTGGTTAATCAATTCACTTATCTTGGCAGCTGCGTCAGCAATGATGGGCGCATAGAAACTGACGTGAGCTCACGCATTGCAAAGGCTAGAGCTACCTTCTTGAACCTGCGTCATCTTTGGCGACAGAAGGGAGTTTCCCTTGGTCTGAAAGGCTGTGTATACAAGGCCACAGTGAGGGCCGTTCTGCTGTATGGTAGTGAAACTTGGCCCCTTCGGTCTGTAGATCTGAGGCGCCTTCAAGTCTTTGATCATCGTTGTCTGCGAAGCATTGCTGGTGTCAGATTGCACCATGGTGTCCGCAACGATGATGTGCGTAGGCGAGTACCAGGTGGTGATAATCATGCTAGCTCCCTAGAACAACAGATAGCACTGAATAAGTTACGTTGGCTCGGGCACGTGCTACGCATGCCTGGTCACCGCTTACCTAGGAGGGCCTTGTTCAGTCTACCAGGTGTAGGATGGCGCAAGGCTCGAGGTGGACAAAAGTTGACTTGGCAGCGGGAAATGAAGTCACTGACGACCAAACTGGGTGCCGTTGGTTCGTCTCGCCTTCCGGGTTGGAGTCCACGTGACTCGCCTTGTGCTTGGCTCGAGACTTTACAGAACATGGCTCGCAGTAGACACCAGTGGCGCGTCTGCTGCCGCCTCCTAATCGGATTGCCTGTTTAAAGTGTGTTTGATGCTGAGTTATCTGCGGGGTAATGGCTGATTATGACGCGTGGCAGTGAAAGCCGCAAGGAAGCTGTCTCGCTGATGCCGCCTTATCTTTGCACGATAGCCAGCTGTTTGTGACGGTATGTTGACTACACAAGGTGTAGGCGCCTTGACCTTGAATGTTTGCTTAGGGCATTAAGGTTTTCGGGTAAGTCCCCCTTCTCTCCCTGTTCTTATTCTTTATTTCATAGGTCCTCACGGTTGTATGGCAGCGAAGCATCAGTTCAAATGGCTGATGTACTGCTGTTGATGATGATGAAGATGATGACTCGCCTACGCACATCATCGTTGCGGACACGCTGGTGCCATCCGACTCCGCCAATGCTTCGCAAACAACGATGATCAAAGACTTGAAGGCGCCTCGGATCTTCAGACCAAAGGTGCCAAATCTCACTACCATAAATCAGAACGGCCCCCATTGTGGCCTTGTATACCTGGCATTTCAGACCAAGGGAAACTCCCTTCTGTCGCCAAAGATGCCGCAGGTTCAAGAAGGTAGCTCTGGCTTTTGCAACGCGTGATCTGACGTCAGTTTCTATGCGCCCATCGTTGCTGACGCAGCTGCCAAGATAAGTGAATTGATCAACCACGTCGAGTTCGTCGTTAACAAGCGTCAAGGGGTCA